CCGGCCTTCAAAGGTGTTCGCTCACAGCACTTGCCCGAACAGCCTGTTTAGGCTATACGGAGAATCTTTGTGTGAATGATTGAACGCGCCGGTGTGAGGGGCGCACGCTCAGTGATGGGGGTCACGTGGATGTGGCTGCAGCTCGAGTTCGCGTTGAGCTCCAACATTGATTCGGGATCTCGTCGTCGTTGTTGTTGATTGTAATTGAGTTGGTGCTATCGGCGCCATGTCGCGGAGTCCGAGAGTCCGTCCCGAACTCGCAGAGAGCAGTGCGACCCTTCGTGTTCGAGAACGACGGCCCACGGAAGCGGGCATGACAGAGCTACCTTTGAGATCCCCTTTCAGTGACGTCTGGCCCACGGATGGAGAGGGCAGCACCTCCCCACCCGCGATGTTCGTCGCGTGACAGCGACACTGACATTGATACGAGTTGGAATTTTTGCTAAATGAAGCACATCACTCACAGGTAACGTGATGGTTTGTGTGCACTCACCGGTGACCAGGCCGAGACCATCACCTCTGGGAACCTGTGAAAAAGAGCTTCGTTGCTCATCGGATTTCTCCAGTATAAATACATAATCTGATTCTTAACATGCTGCACTTGAGAACCCAGTTACATCACGGGCCGTGGCTGAATCCCCGAGATTGGAACCCAGGCCCCCAGCGGGGCTGTTAGAGCGCTCGCCAGACGCTTCAACTCTCCACTCAGTCAGTCGAGTGTTTGAATTAGCGGCCCGAGTCTCTTCCCGACGTCTCAGCTCGTTACCGACGGCCACCGCCACGCAGTCCCTAATTCGTAAATTGCTAAGCGGTTCATTAATTGTCTGCTTGCTGGATTGGTTAATTGGTTAATTTGCCGTCTGTGGATGAAGCTGCCGCTAGGCGCGGGGCCTAATTACGATGGCTGATGGGAGCGCGCGTGCGTCCGCCTCGTTCTGGAAACTGTCAACAAAACGCAACACACACAAAGACAAAAATCCCCCGTATAGCCTCAATATATTTTTGGGGAAAGTGTAGTTAGCGAGCACCTATGAAGGCCGGAACGGTACACGAGGGGGTGATTGGCCAACACCACGCCCGGCCGCCTTTGTCTCTCCAGTAGTGATGTTTACGCAGCGCACCAGGTGCTCGTTTGAGACAGATCTCGACGTGCACACATGCTACAGCTACTGCCGCCATTCGCAACTAAGTGGTGGTGACCTCACCACAGCGCGTGTGTGCCAGGCTAGGTGCACTTGTGCCAGGCTAGGTGTACGCAAGCACACACCCTATGACATACACATTCACACACACACACATGCGCACATACTCACGCAAGCACACGCGCTAACGCACAGAAGCACACACACACACGCACTATCACGCGCGCACACTCACACACAACAACCGCCATTCGCCACTAAGTAGCGGTGACGTCACCACGACGCTTGTGCCAGGTCAGGTACACCTTGATGCCACGTGAAGTGTCGAACGCCCGCTGGCAGGAGGTCACAGGGCAGACCCAGGTGCCACGGGTCGACTGACTGAGATGACACACGCGCACACTCACACACGCACACTCACACATGCACACAAGATTGCGCGCGCCTGTGGTTTACAGATCAAATCGATTGTCTCGCGCGTAGAGAGGTTGTTGTGGGGATCACAGAGAGGGGACCGACGCGGATCTTTCAGGACCCCCCCCCATCACCACCACCACCACCACTGTGCCCCGACCCCCTACACCCCCTTCAGTCTTGTCAGCGCAAACCCCCCGGAACCCATCGCCCCAACTCACCCCCACCCCTCTCCGCTACCCCTGCACTCCCCCTCCGCTCCCCTTTCCATCCGCGATCTGGCACTCTCCAGTTTTCCGAGCTGGCCTCTGCGAAACGCGCCGAGTGACATCAGCTCCGGGTGCGGCGGCCCCCGCTAGCAGGGGCACGCGGGGCAACGAGGGGGCCCCGAGCCCCCCACCCCCAGACCCCCTCTCTTTTAAGAGCGAGAAGCGACCCCGCGGCGCGCAATTTGGCGACCTGCTGCTGCTGCTGCTGCCCATGCGCATCTCCACGTGCGTGCTATCCACGTGCGTACCACTCACGTTCGTATTATCCACGTGCGTACTGTCCACGTGCGTACTATCCACGTGCGTACCACTCACGTGCGTACTGACCACGTGCGTGCTGTCCACGTGCGTACTGTCCACGTGCGTGCTATCTACGTGCGTACTGTCCACGTTCGTATTATCCACGTGCGTGCTGTCCACGTGCGTACTGTCCACGTTCGTATTATCCACGTGCGTACTGACCACGTGCGTGCTGTCCACGTGCGTACTGTCCACGTGCGTGCTATCTACGTGCGTACTGTCCACGTTCGTATTATCCACGTGCGTACTGTCCACGTGCGTGCTATCCACGTGCGTACTGTCCACGTGCGTACCACTCGCGCAACGTAATCCGTGTTCACGCCACTCTTGCTCATTTGTAATGATAAAGGCGCAGCCCTGCAATTGCTGGGAGTGCCGAGTGTCGCCTGCAGGTAGTGACGGGTGGAGAGAGTCGCTCGCTCTCTACCATGCGGGCCGACTACTCCACACTGGGCAGAAGTGTTGGAGGGCGAATGTGCGATGTCATTATAATTGGTGTATTATGATTGCTGTTGTCATTGAATGATTGTTGTCATTGTTGTTCGTTACATCACTCCCCGCTCCCGGCCACTGCCCACCCAGCTGTGGGCAGTCGATGGGCAGACTTCGCGCGCGGTGCGGTAAAGTGACAAGCGCGGCACAGTAACCCAAAGCACCCCCTGGAGTAGGGCTCTCTAGACTAATAATAATACTATAATAATACTATAATAATACTATAATAATACTATAGTCATATGGTCTTGATCTCCCTCTGCAGTAGAGGCCCCTTTCACTAGCAGGGGCGTGGGGATGCACTTGCAGGGCTGCGCCTTTACTGCTGTTGCTATCATCATCACCATCATCACCATCACCATCATCACCATCATCATCATCACCATCATCACCATCATCACCATCATCACCATCATCCCTTCCCCTTTGATTGTGATTCCTCCTCGTCCTCCTCGTTACGAGCTCACACCCAGGGACGCGTTTCACTCATTCCAGTAAAGGTCTCTTCCAGACGCTGGACATTGCATTGTAATGGACGGTGTATTGTGTTGTATTGTATTGTACCGTATTATTGTATAGGGGAGGAGGAGCGGTGGCGCAGCGGTTAGCGCGCCTACTTGAGTTGCTCGATTCCTTCACGACCGCGGCTAACATCGGGTGGCGAGCGACCCCTGAGCCCCTTCTCCTCGACTTGCCCACCAATTCGCACCCTGACCATCGTGGTGAAGTATGGCCAAATAAACGTCATAATTATGAGGGGGCGGCTTCATATAGCGGTTTATTGACGAAGAGTCAGTTTAATTATGATAATTGAATTACAGCCCATTCATATTCTTGCACTTTGGGCAACATATCTGAATATCTGTGGCGATCGGAGGTCGCATCCGCTGTACGGAGAAAAGCGGCGACTGACGCGCAGCACAGAAAGCCCCCCCCTCCTCCTCGCCCCCCCCTCCTCGCCCCCCCACTCCTCCTCGTCCCCCCCTCCTCGCCCCCCCCTCCTCCTCGCCCCCCCTCCTCCTCCTCGCCCCCCCTCCTCCTCCTCGCCCCCCTCCTCGCCCCCCCTCCTCCTCGCCCCCCCCTCCTCCTCGCCCCCCCTCCTCCTCCTCGCCCCCCCTCCTCGCCCCCCCCTTCCTCCTCGCCCCCCCCTCCTCCTCGCCCCCCCTCCCCCTCCTCGCCCCCCCCTCCTCCTCCTTGCCCCCTCCTCCTCGCCCCCCCCTCCTCCTCGCTCCTCCTCCTCGCCCCCCCTCCTCCTTCCTCGCCCCCCCCCTCCTCCTCGCTCCTCCTCCTCCTTACTCGCCCCCCCTCCTCCCCCTTCCTCACCCCCCCCCCTCTCCCTCCTGCATCCGCCCCCTCCTCCGGTTCCCTCCCCTAAACCCCTCCACGCAGCACGGGGATCCGGACCGAGTGGCCCCCATGGGAGGGGGCGGGGGGCGAGCGGGGTCCGGGGGCCAGAGACAAAGGCGGAGCGGGAAGGGGATGAGGTCAGAGGGGGGGGGGGGGGGGGAAGCGGGGGGGGGGGGGGAGGCTCGAGGCGCGTGATGAGAATTTGGACTCCACTCTCAGCTCTCCCGCGAGTCGCGCTGGCTCCCAGTGACTCCTCTGTGACTCTCTCCGTGACTCCGTGTCTGGCTCCGTGTCTCTCTCCGTGACTCCGTGACTCCGTGACTCTCTCCCTGACTCCGTGTCTGGCTCCGTGTCTCTCTCCGTGACTCCGTGACTCGAGTGTCTGCCTCCGTGTCTCTCTCCGTGACTCCGTGTCTGGCTCCGTGTCTCTCTCCGTGACTCCGTGACTCCGTGACTCTCTCCCTGACTCCGTGTCTGGCTCCGTGTCTCTCTCCGTGACTCCGTGACTCGAGTGTCTGCCTCCGTGTCTCTCTCCGTGACTCCGTGTCTGACTCCGTGACTCTCTCTCTCTGTCGTGCAGACAGTCCTGGCTGTCCGTCTCTCGGGCGGGCGCAGATCTCGCATCAGTGGCGACTGTTGCTTCAAGCTGTTGCTGTCACAGCAGCCGCTCGTGAGCACGCGGCGCAACAACAGCAGACTACAATCACTGTCACCACCGCAACAACAGCAGACTACAATCACTGTCACCACCGCAACAACAACACCACCAGCGGGCAATCGCAACGGCAGCCACCGCAGCCACAGCAGCGGCTGTGGTATGAGGACAGCCACGACATCGGTCTGGCACAACAGCCGCCGCCGCTGTCGCGCAGATAATTGGACGCGTTGAGCAGATTCGCGTGAAACCCACAGCCGCTGCTGGGCGAGCAGAGGCAGAGAGAGTGCAGGGGAGAGTGTGCAGGGGAGAGAGTGCGAGGGGAGAGTGTGCAGGGGAGAGTGCAGGGGAGAGAGTGCAGGGGAGAGTGTGCAGGGGAGAGAGTGCGAGGGGGAGAGCGCGACTGTTATTGGGAGAGAATTGAAAGTTCCGTAAGGAAATCGACTCCGTGGAGGGCGGAGGTAGCGAGCGAGGCGCGCGCCACCGCGGATTTTGCATCGAGCTGCGACATCGCCGCGGTCACGACAAGAACCACCACCACCGCCATCACCACCACCGCCACCACCTCCAACATCACTGTCACCATCAGCCACCACGACCGCCACCACCATCGCCGTCGTCGCCGCTGGCGATGCCTCTGCCCCTGCTGCTGTTGCTTCTGTGGTCGCGGTGAGTGACTGGCTGGAAGGGGCAGGATGGAGTGGGGGGGGCTGTGTGTGTGTTACTCGTGTTGCTGCTGCTGCATGTGATGATGATGATGTTGGTGATGATGATTATCCTGGTGGGCGGGGGCCGCAGGGGGCGCCGCGCGGCATGGCCCGGCCGCCCGCTAAGTGATCGGTTCCTGACTCGCCCGCAGACGCAGCCGGAGTCGAAGCCTCGGCGGTGAAGCGCGCTGGTGAGCGGCGCGCTGGTGAGGGGCGCGCTGGTGAGGGGCGCGCTGGTGAGCGGCGCGCTGGTGAGGGGCGCGCTGGTGAGGGGCGCGCTGGTGAGGGGCGCGCTGGTGAGGGGCGCGCTGGTGAGGAGCGTGGCGAGGGAGGCGGCGAGGAGGGGGCGAGGCGGAGCGGGCAGCTGCGCGCGATGTGATCGCCCCTCCGGCTCGTCCACGCAGCCGCCAGCGCTGTGAAGGCAGCGCTCGCATCGCCCCTGCGCCGTCACCACCGACCCCGCGCGCGACGCCGCCGGGAGAGGCGGGAGAGGAGGGGAGGCGGTCGGGGAGCCGAGGGAGCGAGAGAGAGCTGCGAGGGAAAGGCGGGAGACGTCTGTGAGCGTGGAAGACGGGGAGAGGTGTCTGGGCGAGTCCCGTCGAGGAGAGCGGTGGGGGGTGGGGGGACTCTGTGAGTCGCGGGAAGCGTTGGTCATGCGAGCCGGCCCGGCAGGATGCCTCTCTGTAACGCCACGGGCGCCCACCAGCAGCAGGAGCAGCAGGAGCAGCAGGAGGGCGACACGGCCCTGAACGCTGCCTACATCTGCCTGGAGGTGTTCATCGCTCTGCTCGCCGTGCTCGGCAACGTGCTCGTGTGCTGGGCTGTGTGGCTCAACACCAACTTGCGCAACGTCACCAACTACTTCCTCGTGTCGCTCGCCATCGCCGACATCGCCGTCGGCGTGCTGGGCATCCCGTTCGCCATCACGCTCAGCGTGGGCTTCACCACCGACTTCTACCTCTGCCTCTTCATCGCCTGCTTCGTGCTGGTGCTCACGCAGAGCTCCATCTTCAGCATGCTCGCCATCGCGCTCGACCGCTACCTGGCCGTGCGCATCCCGCTCAGGTGAGGCTCGCGCACGCCGGTGTGACGTCACAGCCATCGGCGTCGGCGTCGTCATCGTCGTAATTGTTATCATCTCGTTCGTGTTATACATCGAGCGCATGCATTCGCCGGGCGCTTGATGTCACAGTTTACATCACGGCGGCAGAGTAGAATGGCGCGCAAGGGTTGAGGACCGGGTGACATCGATAGAGGAATGCGCTCAGGGAACACGGCAGGGCGACAGGGGAGGGACGGGAAGGAGTGGAGGGGCGAGGGGAGGGAAGAGGAAGGGAATGGGCGATGGAGAAGACGTGAGGTTTCGAGAGAGGAAGGGATGGAGGTGAAGGAGGGGGACTGCTCAATGTACAGGGGCAGTGTTGAGTCTATGGGTAGCAGAGCTGAGTCTATATGCAGTGTTGAGTCTATGGGTAGCAGAGCTGAGTCTATGGGCAGTGTTGAGTCTATGGGTAGCAGTGCTGAGTCTATGGGCAGTGTTGAGTCTATGGGCAGTGTTGTGTCTAAGGGCAGTGTTGAGTCTATGGGTAGCAGTGTTGAGTCGACAGTGTGGTGTTGAGTCTATGGGTAGTGTTGAGTCTATGGGTAGAGCTGAGTCTATGGGTAGTAGAGCTGAGTCTATGGGCAGTGTTGAGTTTGTAGGCAGTGTTGAGTCTATGGATAGCAGTGCTGAGTTTATGGGCAATGCTGAGTCTATGGGCAGTGTTGAGTCTATGGGTAGCAGTGTTGAGTCTATGGGTAGCAGTGTTGAGTCTATGGGCAGTGTTGAGTCTATGGGTAGCAGTGCTGAGTGTATGGGTAGCAGTGTTGAGTCTATGGGTAGCAGTGTTGAGTCTATGGGCAGTGTTGAGTCTATGGGTAGCAGTGTTGAGTCTATGGGTAGCACTGCTGAGTCTATGGGCAGTGTTGAGTCTATGGGTAGCAGTGTTGAGTCTATGGGTAGCAGTGTTGAGTCTATGGGTAGCAGTGTTGAGTCTATGGGTAGCACTGTTGAGTCTATGGGTAGCAGTGTTGAGTCTATGGGTAGCAGTGTTGAGTCTATGGGTAGCAGTGTTGAGTCTATTTCTCTTTCTAAAATTTACCAGGCTCTCATAGGGCCATTCACTCTTTCTTTCCTCCGGCCGCTTCGGGGTGGATCTCCACACATCTCTCTGTGTGTATCTGTTTGTCAAATTTCACACTTAACTTCTAATTTTAGCAATCTTTGGAGATCGTAATTAACCAGGCTATGCGTTAACTGTCTGTTCGCCGACTCTCTGTGTTGCATTGTATTACATTTCCAAAAGATTTGCTAAATTTTGTTTTCTCAAACTATTTCTTTCTCTTAAATTTACCAGGCTATCATAGGGCCATTCGATCTTCTTTCCCTCGGTCGCGTCGGGGTGGATTCATTGACATGCTAATTTCTCTGCTCCAGCAGCTGCCCCAGCAGACCCACCTCTCTCTCTCTCTGCCCCCCCCCCCTCTCTCTTTATTGAAGGCCTGGACGCAGAGGCATTGCGTCTCTGTGTGTCTATGTTGTGTCTCTCTCTGTGTGTCTGTGTTGTCTCTCTCTGCTTGTGTGTCAGTCTGTGTGTCTCCGTGTCTGTTTTGTCTCTCTCTCAAATTTAGTTCTACCTGATGACGGTTGCGTGTGTTGCAATCGAAACGTCGTACTCTATTATTTAATTTATTTTCTTTCTACGTGACTTTACCCAAAGAACCAAAGAGTATGGGTAGCAGTGTTGAGTCTATGGGTAGCAGTGTTGAGTCTATGGGTAGCAGTGTTGAGTCTACTGGTAGCGTTGAGTCTGTGGGCAGTGTTGAGTTTGTGGGCAATGTTGAGTTTGTGGCTAGCAGTGCTGAGTCGTTGGCTAGCAGTGTTGAGTCTACTGGTAGCGTTGAGTCTGTGGGCCGTGTTGAGTCTATGGGTAGCAGTGTTGAGTCTATGGGTAATGTTGAGTTTATTGGTAGTGTTGAGTCTATGGGCAGTATTGAGTCTTTGGGCAGTGTTGAATCTATGGGTAGCAGTGTTGAGTCTATGGGTAGTGTGAGTCTATGGGCAGTGTTAAGTCTATGGGTAGCAGTGTTGAGTCTATGGGTAGCAGTGTTCAGTCTATGGGTAGCAGTGTTGAGTCTATGGGTAGCAGTGTTGAGTCTATGGGTAATGTTGATTTTTGGTAGTGTTGAGTCTATGGGCAGTATTGAGTCTTTGGGCAGTGTTGAGTCTATGGGTAGCAGTGTTGAGTCTATGGGTAGTGTTGAGTCTATGGGCAGTGTTAAGTCTATGGGTAGCAGTGTTGAGTCTATGGGTAGCAGTGTTCAGTCTATTGGTAGCAGTGTTGAGTCTATGGGTAATGTTGAGTTTATGGGTAGTGTTGAGTCTATGGGCAGTATTGAGTCTTTGGGCAGTGTTGAGTCTATGGGCAGTGTTAAGTCTATGGGTAGCAGTTTTGAGTCTATGGGTAGCAGTGTTGAGTCTATGGGTAGCAGTGATACTCAATGTACCGGGGAAGTTGATTCCAGTGGAGGGGTGCAAGGAGGGAGAAGGACCGAGCGCGGGGACTGGCACAGGCAGGAGGAGGCACACACAGAGAGGGGATTGGGAGCGAGGAGGACGAGAGGGACACGGCAGGAGGATGTTGTGGATTTCCTCTCCAACACGACCGGTAGTGCTGTACTAGTAACGAATTGGCACGTTCTGTTTACGTGACAAACCTTACTAGTTGACCGTGTCGGGTGGTAGCGAGTGTAACGACACCTTTATATTTACGCGAACTAACCCAAACAAACATCTATTATTGATGGAAGGAGATGGTTGACTTATTTGCCCATGAGAGCCACACTGAGTCGCAGGAGTCATTTCCAGGACGGTCCTCAGCCAATTCACGGCGAGCTCTTTATTTATGCAAGTGGAGAGGGAACCCGAGAAACCTCCCACGCCTTTGCGCGAGGAGGCAACAATGCTCCATCCCCGTACGGATGGAAACAGATGGCGATGAGTCCACTGGCGGTGCCGCCTTCTCCTGACAGAGCCAGGCGACGGCTCCCCGCGACGCGCAAGGGAAGCGAGGTTCACAACTCCGGTGCGGTGATCCACCAACCACCGCTGCTGGGTCACAGCAACCACGTGGACAGCCACCAGCGCCACCCGGCCTGGAGTGGGGCAGTGGGGGAGGGGCAGCGAAGGGGGGGGGGGCATGGGGTGAAGAGGGGGAGAGAGTGGGGGGCGTCTCACCCAGGGTGTGGGTGGCTCTCCAGCACAGCTGACTCCCAACCCTGGCACCAGGGCGCGTGCCAACCAGGCCACAACTCTGGTGTCACACCTGAGCTCTGACTGGGTGGAGAATCGAGTCATGGATCCCTTCCCCTTGTGCCCGAGCCGCGAAGCGCGGGGTCAAGGTTTGAGTCCCGCTTACGTGACCCCGGGCGCTGAGAGACGGCAGAGGGAGGAGGAGGCGAGGCCGTTGACTTGAAGCGCTCTGCTACCACGGCTGCGAGTGACTCGTTGTGTGAATACGACTCGTGGTGGTCTCGGGTTTCCACCGCGGGGGTAGAGTGGGGGGGGGGGCAGTGCAGGGGGGCTACCGACAAAATGGGATCCGGTGACAGGATCATCATCATCAGCAGCAACGTCATAATCACCAGTGGCGTAATCATCATCGTCGTCATGATCAACAGTATCAGCAGCAACAACAACAACAAAAGCATCATCATCATCATCAGCAGCAGCGACGGATCTCTTCATCACCACCGCCATCATCATCATCCTCATGGCGGCTCGCCGAAGCGAGTGCCGCACGACTCCGTGAGCACTGACGACTTGATGGGCGATCGCTAACGACCACCCCGCCCCTCAACCCCCCCCACCTCGACCCCACTACCAGCAGAGAATCTTTCTCATTTTTTTGGATGGCTGACGTTGATGGAGAGCAACAGCTGCAATGTTACATTGAGGTGCTTGATGAGCCGTGCCGAGATGATGGCTGCAGGAGGAGCGGCGTGTCTCTGCAGACGCCCGTCTTGGTGACTCGCACTGCGAGGCGGCGTCATTGACTCCGCGGCTCGAATGTGGGTGGTGACCACAGGCTCCGGCACACCGCCCGGAGACTTTCTCGTTTGCCATGTGGGCATCAACATCATTATCATCATCATCATCACCACAACCACCCCCATCATCATCACCCCCATCATTATCACCACAACCACCACCATCATCCAGTGTCCACGTCTGATTAGAGAGCAGAGCGAGTGGGTGCTGTGGGGTTCGTGTCGACACATCCTCATTGTGAATCAATCAAAAGTCGCCTCCGATCAACGAGCCCGGAACGCGCCCGGGCCTGTCCCCCATCTCGGAAGCTCAGCAGAGGCTGAGCATGGATAGCGCCTAGATGGGTGACCACCACCACTACCATCACTACCACCACCACCACCACCACTACTACCACCATCACTACAACCACAACTACTACCACCATCACTACAACCACAACTACTACCACCATCACTACAACCACTCACCACCACTACCATCACTACCATCACTACCACCACCACCACCACCACTACTACCATCACTACCACCACCACCACTACCATCACTACCACCACCACCACCACTACCATCACTACCACCACCACCACCACTACCATCACTACCACCACCACTACCACTACTACCACCATCACTACAACCACAACTACTACCACCATCACTACAACCACTCACCACCTCTACCATCACTACCACCACCACCACCACTACTACCACCATCACCACCACTACCATCACTACCACCATCACTACAACCACTCACCACCTCTACCATCACTACCACCACCACTACCACCACTACCACCACCACCACCACCACCACCACTACCATCACTACCACCACCACCATCACTACCACCACCACCACCACTACCATCACTACCACCACCACCATCACTACTACCACCATCACTACAACCACAACTACTACCACCATCACTACAACCACTCACCACCTCTACCATCACTACCA